CATATTCGTGTGGCCCAAGTCGTACAAATTTTCGTCACATCACAGATGTACATGGTATCAAGTCTGGATTTACAGTGTTTATGTCATCTGAGAAGATAATCTGCCACTGCCATTTCCTTCAAATGTTGAATCCCTTGTTCTATGGTTTTCTACTGGGTTTGCTGCATATAGAGATCATCAGCACACAGGTATCTTTGTGCTACACTTCCCAGGAACCGTGCCCAGAGGTTGTGAGGGTTAGCCCCCCTCATCATGCCTTGGTCGATGACAGGATCATGTGACAGGGATCCCAAATGCCTCACTTCACTACCGTTCAAAACTGTAGCTTCGCCTGCAGCATCTTAGAGACGGACTAACTAACTAATTATAGATTCATCAGGTCTCCGAGTGTAATCTTTTCTTAGGCCACGAAGGTCCTTCAGGGAATAGGACTCAATAGTGTATTTTGCTGTTGTGTCAGTTGCTTGAACTGTGGCTTTTGTATCAGTAATTGCTGTTGAGGGTCCTTCCCCTGTATCATCATCATCGGTCACTGGCCGATTAGTTTTCTTTGTGTGCTTCTTTACTGCTGCAACTGCCAGTGGCTTAGGGTTACTGTCTGTTTTAGCTACAGCCTGAGTAGCTGGGGTAGCTGCTGATTTATCTCCCTGCCCCCCTTTGGCCCACGTTTGCCTGCGGGAACATGATAAACATTCTCATTATTAAAGTCAATGGACAGTGCAGTTACCAGTTGGCGACGGGTTCCCTTTGGTATCGCTCCGTGTGTTGGGTCCTCCTCATGTGGTCTGGAATCTCCTGGGATGGTGCATGACTGGGTCTGGATGGCCTTTGATTTGGTGTCTTTGCGTGGGGCCCCACCACGCTCCGCTGGAAGTTTCCCGGACGCTGCTGATAGTACTGCTGATTGTGGGGTTTTTGGTAGGTGTTACGGGAGTTTTGGGTAGGTGACCTGTCTGGGCAGTCCTTTATAAAATGTCCAAAGTCTCCACAGTGAAAGCAGAGAGCAGCCGGCTTGGTCTTTAGAAGCTATTACTGCATATGCACCAGAAACTCCTTCTGCAATACCCTTAGCAACTGCTTGGGCCACTGTGTTTTCAGTGGACAAATGACGTGTACAGCTTTCCACCATTTGCTCTATGGTATGTTCTGTATCCAAGGGTAGGGCCTTCAGAATTGTTTTACACTGTTCATTAGCATTACTCATGGCAAGTTTACACAATGGTTCTTTTCTTGCCTCTGTCTTCTCTATCTGTTTTTCCAGAGCATCCTTAATTCTGTCCACAAACTTTAACAAGCTTTCATCTACTCCTTGTTTAATATTAGAGAAATGTTGGGTAGGAATAGAGTCATCTGGGATAAGAAGTAAGGAGGTTTTTGCTGCAATAGCCAAGTTCTGTAGTGCTGCCTTAGGTAAGATGTTAGCTTGGTCAGAGGGTTTCTGTAAATCCCCTTCTCCAGCCAGCTGTTTGACTGTAAAATCTGGCCTATCAGCATCTTTAGCATAGGTGTCTGATAATGTTTTTAATTGTCTTTCCCATAGCATGTAGTCTGCCTGGGAAAGAAGGCAGTGGGCAATATTTTTAACATTGTGAGGTACTAAAACATGTGCCGAGAACATAGCTTCTAGGAAATTTCTAACAATATGTGAACTTCTACCATGTTCTTTGGCTATATTTTGTAGTTGTACAAGTTCTTTATTTGTGTTAGGTTCTCACATTGTTTTAGTGGTGGCACCACCTCTTCTTCCCTTTATATAAATTACTGGGAAGGCAGAAATTCTCTGAGCCAACCCCCTGCCCAAGTTGCTTCCATTTTGATTAGAGCCCAAGTAGCAATGTCCTCTGTATCAGAATCAGACTTGCTGCCACTACTGTCATTAGTCGAGGAGTGAGAGTGAGCAGGCGGCGCAGTATGCTTTTTTGGGTGTGTTGGAGCAAGAGTTTGCAGGGGTGTAGGGGACCGAAGAGAGTGTCAGGAGGTACATGGCAGAGCTTGGCTAGAGGGAGGCAGCAGTGGAGTGGCAATAGCAGCACCACGTGTGGCACAGCCTGAGGGGGACTGAGGCGCGTGGAGAAGTGGGGTGCCACCGTGGGGGGTCTCAGAGGTGCCGTTCGGGGGTCCCTGAGGGTGGGTGGGTGGTTGCAAAGCCTGGGGATGCGGGCAAGGGAGAAGCGGGCAAGAGGAGGCGGTGGGATTGGCAGGGGCTGCCACTGCCACAGCTGGCATGACGGGGCGTACAGCGTGGTCTGCCGGAGCTGTGGCAGGCAGGCAGGCAGGCAAGGAGAAGACCGCTTGCTGTGGCAGGAATGGTAGCGGGGGTAGGGAGACACACGACGGGGCTGAGTGGCACGGCAGCAGGGGTGGGGGGCAGCGGCAGGGGTGGGGGCGGGTCGCAGCTGGCTGTGCCGAGACGTTGGGGGGGGGGGGGGGGGGGCTGGAGACGAAGGATGGGAAGGCCCCACGGACCCCACGGGCATGGAGGGGGTGGGTGGGTGTGGCGCGGCTCAAATTCCACGTTCCCTGCCCCAAGAAGGGGGCCCGAGGGTAAGAGACGGCGGTTGGACCCTGAGAAAGCAGAGGATAGGATTCAGAGACTGAGAGAAAAGGAATGTTATCTGCATTATTAGCATTTGATGAGAGAGTCTCTGGTGGGAGAGATAAGGTTGGAATGCCCTCAGCAGGGGAAGGTTGCAGAGAAATTGAGCTCTTTATATTTGTCTTTTCGACTGATTTGGTTATAGAATGAAAAATAGGTAAAAATCGAGTTACAGAAAAATCTTCATTTGTTTGGAGAGAACATATTCTTGTCCCTACTGTGTCCCAAAAAGAATCTAGAGCGATAGTGTGTGTGTTAGTATCTGGAAACTGGGAAATAATCCATTTTATAAATTTTTTCAAGTTAGTTTTTGAGAGACTGCCTTTAGAGAAAGAAAAGCTGATAGCAGATAGGATTTCTAGGATTTGTAAATATAAGTCTCTTTCGTTCTGGGATTGTTTTAATTTACTAGGTTTTGATCCCATACTGATATAATTTCCTATTCCCCGCCAGCAGTAAAAAGAGAAAAAAAAAAAAAAGAAAAAAAAACCCCAAAAAGGACCCAAGGTAAAAGCGCACAAAAAAGGCTGTCTTAAAACTTACACTTCTTCAGCCGAATGTGGGTCAAAAACTGCTGGTGGGTGGTCTGTCGTGCCCGACTCCTCAGTATCTCATCCCAGATGTCGATGTGGACGGTCGTCGGATGCCTCTTCAGATAACTTCTTCTATAATGGAAAACTTATCTTCAGGAGGTTGTAGCAAACTGAGGCAGTAACTATTCAAGAAGAATGCTGCTTCTCTGGAGTGCCAGGATGCCAAGCACGCCGTTCAGAGCACCAAATTTTATTACGGCGGGGGTTTTCGAGGTCTCTCTGACCCCAGCTGCCATAGGTGTCTGGATAGCTAAGTCTTGCTAAGCACAACCTGTCCGGATCCCTCAGGCAGGCTCCCAGTTGCAGGCAATCTTAGCAAGCAGCTCAGCTCTTAAGCGAGATCAGCTCTTTGGTGAATTCAGCTCTTTAGTGATTTCAGCTCTTTGCTTGCTAAGTGCCTCAGCAGACGTGGGGAGAGAGAAGAGAAGGCTGTACGAGGTTCCAGAGGTGTCTTTATCAGCAGCATCTGCAAAGGGTGACTTCTGCTGAACAGCACAGAAATAGGGGTTTATATAGGGTATAGGGGTTTTGGGAAACAGTCCAATAGTAAGGGTCGAGGCGAATATAACCTATCGTCTTACAGAGAGATAACAAGGGTCCGAAGGCAGAAGAGGGGCTTCTTTGGTCCAGTCATCATGACTAGGCATTTATCTTAGGCTGCTGACCACCAGGGAGGCCTTGCAGGCCCTGTGTCTCCTACATCCACTGAACAGAGAGAGACATGGTTCTCCCAGGAAAATCCTGGGAAGCTGTGTAGAAGCTGTGGGGAACTTAGAGGAAAGAATTCAAAAAATTATTATCTCTCTTTCTGTAACCATTATTCATAGATATGGTTCTCCAGAGTGTGCTATTCATAGTTCACCAATAGTGTGAGAGGTTTTCACTTTGAGACCAATCAGGTATCAGCTTAGCAAGTCAGACTATAAAAGTCGCAATTTCTACCTAATAAACAAATTTTATTTCGCCTTCTGATGACTGAAGTCATTCATTCCATCTCTGACTCAACAGCATCATCCCAATAAGTAATTTTACTGGTTTTATAAAATAGGTAGGAGCCGGAGGAAAGCCATATGTGGGAGGAGAAAATAGAACAAGCGCGGAGAATCGCTGGTGTAACATAACCAGAGGTGGTACAAAATTGGACATATGCAAAAGGTTGGGGATTAGGCCAAACGGTGAGGGCTTCCATGCAGGTATAATAACACAATCACAGAATGAAAGCGGACTAGAGCCCCAAGAACTAGACCTGTTAGGATCGGTACTTGGGAATTATTGCTTGTTTTTTAACTACTTTTTAAACTCAAAATCAACTGATATGAGGAATGTCCTAGTCCCACGACCCAAAAATAATAGTGTGATCCTTAATCCCAATTCTCCATGGTATCAGAATGTGATCAAATATTGCCACAATTGGACTTATCCTGGAAGTGCTGGTGAAAATGTGACTGTAAGAAAGCTTCCATCAGGTGTCTTTTTAATCTGTGGGGATAGGGCATGGCTTGCAATTCCGAGTAATTCGTTTGGTGGTCCTTGTTACTCAGAAAAGTTAACCATGTTTGCCCCTAGCATGTGCGAAATGCTGAATCAGACTATTTGGAGAGCGGGACATAACAAGAGAACTAAAAGAGCAATCACAACCTTGGCACCTGATTGTGAAAATCACATAGAGTTTTGGGGCGCTTCAGCACAAATAATAGCATCATTCCTCACTCCAGGTGTTGCTGCTGCTCAAGCTTTGGCTACGCGTAACAAGCTGGGATGCTGGACAGCCAAACAATTACACATAACTTCAGCCATTTTAAATCAGATGCTCACTGATGCAGACAGTATTAGACACGGCACACTGCAAAATAGAGCTGCTATAGATTTTTTGCTATTAACACATGGGTGCGGGTGTGAGGATTTTGAAGGAATGTGTTGTATGAACCTCTCTGACCATTCTGCCTCCATGCACAGGAAATTCAAACTACAGGATAAAATGAAGAAATTGACAGGGGGGTTGGATGAGTGGTTTGAGGGATGGGGAATAAATGGATGGTTGAAAGATATCGTAAAGGGAGCTTTATTATTACTATTAGTCATTATTATACTGCTTTGTATTATTCTATGCATAATAAAATTGGCGACTTGCTTGGCAGAAAATACAGTAAAAGGGGTTTGGCAGGTGCAAGAAGAAGAAGAAGGGGGAATTGTAGCAATGTATTTGCACAGATTAGGCCACAGTGTGCTCCAGCCAAACTGCTTTTAGTTATTCTTATCAGCACCCTCTGGAATTTGTCAAGGTTACTAAGACATAAATTGTGCTAAATTAGGAAAGAAGAGGCTGAAAAACAAAATGCCAACACCACAAGAACTAGATAAAGGAGGGCGGTGGAGCACCTGGTCTGTAACCGATCACATATCCTGAAAAGTGCGTGCAGAGCACGTGGACAAGATAGAGGCACCAATCAAGAAACGCGTGATCGACATGTGCAGTAGTGTTAGAATGTATAACTAGAACATAATATAAAAAATAAAGTGGCTTCTGCTTAATCATATTGGTTAGTTGTCCAGGAGTCCGGATCTCCCGCACAGTAACAGCAACAAGATTAATAGACAAGCACACAAAAAGAGGATGATTAACATACTAAAAGGCGATCACCGACCAATGCCTCCCCTCGTGGGCCAAAACAAAAGACAAAAATGGCGCCTGCCCCCCCCCCCGCAGTGGACTACACAGTACCTGGAAAGCTAGTTAGTCGAAACAGGAGCTATTCTGCCAAAACAGTGGCTCTCTCAGTTGCAGCAGCGGTCCCGATGCAGGGGGCTCCCTCCCCCCGTGGTGGCAGTGGTCCTGGCGGCAGCCCTGGTGGGCGCTGTGTCTTGTGGCGGGGGTCTCGGCAGCTGCAGCGGTAGCAGCAGTTGCGTCATTCTGTGGCTGCAGCAGCGGTTACCCCTTTTTGCAGCTTCAGCAACAGTTACCACTTGCCGCATGTTTAAGGAACCAGTCTACCCTTTTCCCCAACGGAGGTAAACCTGCACGAACTTCCGGCGGCTCACCATTTTCTGCTGAAACCATGCTCCTGCCATGATGTGGGTGGTATGGAATTAAACAGTGCTAGAAACTCTACCCCTCCTTTATTCTGTACCCAGGACAATACCACAGCAAAAGAGAAAACCCCAGAGAATAGTCTGTTTTACCCATGATGGGAATCAGTCAGTGAGTGATCTCTACCCATCCTTATCTCAGTTCATGAACCTTTGCCATATTTCCTCTCCCCTGTCCAGCTGAGGAGGGGAGTGGCCGAGTGGCTTTGGTGAGTGCCTGGCATCCAGACAGGGTCAGACCACCACACACAGTACTGTCCATACTATTCCTTATTTTAAGAGGAAAACAAACAGAAAACCCAATCAAACAAAAAATAACCCCATACAAACTAATTTGCTGTTCAAGACCTCTGATTCATATCAGTGAAACCTATCAAGCCCAGATAGTTGTAACCTGCAGCTTCTCAAACTGAGTAATGTACTGGAAAAGCCTCTGAATTAGGATGACAATGCCGAATTAACTCACATTGGAAGCATTGCTTTAACTACTTTCTGCTTTTCTATAAACGTCTTGAATTCTACAGGTATCTATGCTATTTTCCACAATTCTGAACAAAAAACAAAAGAGTTTTCTTATCCTGTTTAACACCACCACCACCCCACCCCATACTGTTCAGGTTAAGAAAATACTTTCTTTCCATTTCTGTGGCCCATATGTTCTTCATAAAAGTTTGAGGAAACTGTAAAAGTCAGATCAGTAAAACAGTGGCAAGAAGAAAGACAACTAAATGCTCATATTTTAAATTCAAAACTATTGACCATCTGTTGCAGATTAGCACTTGTCTAACCCCAAACATCTTGTTACCTCTGAGATGGGAAACATGTATGTTTATGAAAATTCAGAATTTTAGAAGCATATAATGTACTTGGGCAGGTGGAGGGAAACAAAAATATATAGAGCTTATTTAGCGAGTTTGCAAAAGTACAGAACACAGTTTGTAACAGGAATGTAATTTGCTAGGTAGAAACACCTTAGAACACATAAGAATTTAGTTACTAGGTGAAGACCATAAAGATAAGAAAACTCAGTAAAGCACAACTCAGGTATTACTGAAACCCATAAAGCAGAACCATTTGCTTAAGGAGCCACCAAGAACCAGGCTCCTAGTTTTGGCCAAGGCAAACTGACCTGAGAGAAAGCCAAACCTCCACCGCACCTGCCCAGAGACAAGGTCAAGCAGCAAACACCTCAGGAAGGCATCCTACTTCATGAAGAAGACCCCTGCCCACGACCTCCAGGGGGCGTGGCACCACAGAAAACTAATTATAATATGAGGCACAAGGAGGTGGAGAGTGGGCAGGGAATGGGCGGGTGTAGCAATGTATCTGAACAACTTAGGCCTCGGTGTGCACCAGCCATACCGCTTGTAACTGTTCTTATCAGAATTTTCTCAGGGCACTGTGGAATTCATCAAGGTTACTAAGACATAAACTGTGCTAAAATAAGAATGAAGAAGCTGAGAAATGGCATACAAGAATCGTAAGAACTAGATAACAGAGGACTGTAGAACACCTGCATGGTAACCAATCACGGATGCTAAGAAATGGAGGCAGAGAATGAGAGAACAAGACAAAGGCACCAATCAAGAAGTGTGATCTTAGTAGTTTGTAGAATCTGTAAAAGTGTGTCTAATGTAAACAATGAACGGCTTCTGCTTGATCATATTGGTCAGTTGTTCAGGAGTCCTGGTTTACCCGCAATATATTGGTGACGCACGACATGATAGTGAATGTGTTAATGAAGTAGATCAAAACTTTTAGACTCTAAAAGAGGAGTTCTTAGACCCTTTGGACTCTGAAGGCAATCCTACTGAGTGAAAAGGCGGGGGCCCTGGTTGGAGACTGCCGTGGCTGGACCGCGGGGGTGGGGGGGGGGAATCGGAGGACGACTCCAATGGAGGAAGGTGAACGCGCCAGGAAAACAGCTCTGGAAATAATTTGTTTAAGCTGCAGCTGTTACACTGGGACAGGTGAGCGACTGGGGC